CTGAGCATGGAACTCTAGAGTTGCCTTTGGTCCTGTGTACTTATTTTATCATAGTGGGTATACATACTATGATTAGAGAATTAATCAACTGTCATTGAACATCTAATATCATTTACAGAGCCTGTGATACCTTCAGGTTTCCATCACCCCTCTTCACTTCCTTAAAATTTCCCAATATTGGAAAGAACAGTATCTTCTCATATCATGTTACTATTTTACTGTGTAGATGGTCTTTAACGTTCACTAGAAGTTTTGGTGGATGGTGAAGCAGTAGGATTCTCCCACTACCTGAAATATTAGTGTGTGATTTGGTAGTATCAACCTGTAGCCCAAGCACTTGGGAGGCTGAGGCAGGAGGATTCCCTAAGTCCAGGACCAGCCTGGGCAGCATAGTAACATGGGAATAAGACCAGTCTGAAAGTGAGGCAGGCAGGGCAGCAGGGCAGCAGGGCAATGCTTTGAGGCTCTGGAATCCCTTCAGATTCTCTGGCGCCATTTGTCATTGTGTCTTTCCGGTTCACTTTCAGCTCTTTGATGAGCTCGGATTGTTCTCTTTGTTAATTCAGAAGCCTACAGATGATGAAAAGATCACACATTAGGCAGGACACACCTAAAACACTTTCCAAATTAAAAAAAAATTGGACCTGATAGTCTAGTCTAAAAGTAGAGCTGGTGGACAAAACAAACTCATACTTGGGAAGAGGACCGAGTGTGGAGTCAGATGTTTGATTTGGCCACTAAATAGTTAAGCACATGGCCTCAAGATGTCAGTAACAGGTAAGATAAAGCCAATATATTGAAAGTACTATCCCAAATTATTTGCCAAAAATATTTATCTTTTTAATGACATAGGACCTAAACACACACACACACACACATACACACACACACACACACACACACACACACACACACACACACACACACACTTTGTAGCCTGATAGTTTTTATACTTCTGTCAACAGGGTGTGCTAGTCATCATGTGTAAATATGGATAAAAATGTACTATCTGATTAGGAATGTGCACATCCTTTGGTAGATGTGGGTAACAGATGTCTTTTGGGTAACAGATGTCTTGGCTTTTACAGACTAATTGGCAAAGAGGGAGAAAAAGGGAGATAATTAAAGGGGTGGGAAGAGACAGGAGAAAAGTGCAGTCTTCGTGTTGGGGAAAGATCTAATAGACCTCCTTAGTATGGGTAATTGCCTCTCTCTTCAACCTCATTTACTGTCTTATACCATATGACTTAAGGGGAAGTATAAGATAAAGAACCACAAGAAAGGACTGCTATCTGCTAACAACCAGCTTTATCTTGCCATGGAGTATTCTGAAACAACTGACTCATTTAACATCAGGTTTTAAAAAACAAAGTAGGAAAGCATAAATCAAATCAATAATGGCAACTTCCATTTTAATTGGCAGTTTATGAATCTGTGCTGAGGATGGTTGGTGTAAATATTCTCTGATTATACAAATGCAACCACTGAGTGGACGGGTGAGAAGCAAAAGATGAGAGATAGAATATGGCATGTGCTACTTTTACTTTTTAGGTCTCGTTTAGTTTGCTGGATGCTCCTTGTCTGTTCAGTAGTCCGCTCATTGACCCGGAGTAAGTGGAGCCATTGAACAGATGTTTGAGCCCATCACCATTAACAGATCCTCAATTTTGTCTGTGTTTTCTATTCTGCAAGGTTTAAGGTGAAGTGGTGTTTCCTATGTCTTACTAAAGCCTAGCTTATCCTGGTTTGTGCCTTTTACTTTAAACTGAAGGAAATTCTATAATTTGTTAAGAAATCAGTGGAAATGGCAAATTACTCTGTGATAAATACTATCTAACCATTTTTTATGAAGATCCAGTCAGTGCTTTGAAGAGAAATATAGGGGGATGTGAGTGGGAGGTCCTCAGAGGGTTACTTACTGTAGAATTTAGATATACTGCAAAGGCAGATTATTTGTTCTAGCTGCAAGGCACATGGTGCTGTGTTTTGTTTGACCACCTGTCCTGTCAGTAAGCTGGTAGATAGAATTTGCCTAAAAATATCCACCCTGCCTTAAATTTCATTGAAATAATACAGATCAAAATTTCAGATATCAGTAATAATGACTAACTTATTTCTGTTATATTAACATTGTATTTTATTTAGCCTCTAGAAACTAGTGGGGTGACCAGAATAGTTCTTAACACCATGGCAGCTTCGGTGGGATAAAAATAAAATCACTTGTGTAGTCTAGAGACTGGTACATTCAGTCAATTACTTGATTTTTTGTGCCTCATTTCATATCTGTAAAATGCAGGTAACTAACAATCAAGTCCTCCTGGGAATTGGACACCATGATAAATGCTTGTGAGATCAGCATGTGCTTAAATGTTGAGTGGTTGATGGCTGTTTTCATTCAGTGGGTCCATACATACCTTAGTTCATTTCCTTGACTTCCTGGCTTAGCTCCTTCTGGAAACAAAAAATTAAGATAAAAAATCTATCTTTATTTTATATGTATGGTTCTTTTTCTTGCATATATGTCTGGGCACCATGTGCATGCAGTGCCTGGGGAGGCCAGAAAAGAGTGATGGATACATTGGAACTGGAGCTACACATAATCATTTGGGTGGTGGGAAGCAAATCCAGGTCCTGTGCAAGAGTCAAGTGTTCTTAGCTGCTGAGACGGCTCTCCAGCCTAGAGCGTTTAAGATTCTGATGACCTTAGTGACAAAGGGTTTGAGACAGTATGTCAAAGAGCTAGTCTACCCACTTTCAGCCCCATGCATATAAGCGTATGGACCAGTCATAGAGTGGCAAGTGTTTTTCATGCTTTATAATATTAGTTTTCCATGATCTGTTAGAGTCATCATATCTGTAAAATGCAGATAGTGCTCTACAGGGATGTCAAGATTTCTGGGCTTAGCACCCTTACTTTGGTTCATTTGTAGAGGACACTGTGCCTCCCCAATGTCAGCCAGAAAGTGAGGGACAAAGCCAAGCCAGAGGTCCTCCTTTCCTGTGTCTACTGGCTGTGGTAAAAATTAAGAAATGCATCAACGCTTATCAAACTGTACAGATCAACCTGAGTTGTTATTCCTTCACTACAAACTTTTTTCTGTTATGTTAGATTTGTAGTCTATTCCCAGTTGCTTAAAAACTAGTGGGATGAGAGAAAAGCCTAGCCTGGACCTTGAAAAGCATGAGGATACCCAGTCCCACTGGCAGAGCAGAGAGACACATTTGTCAGGCCCTTTAAATGACTGTTGCCTCCTGCTTCCTGCAGCTAATTCTTGCAGGGCTTATGGAGTACTGTTGATGGTTTCTGTAAGAAAACTAGTTTTACTCTCTTGAATGTTAGGAGCGGTGGTTACTAACACTTGTGTCATACTTCCTATGTGTCAGAAAGAAGCACAAAAGATTGATATGATTAATTTACTCTCCACAGCAACACGATGAGGCAGTATGTTGTCATTGTAGTTATCACCTTCCAGATGAGGCCCAGAGGGACTAAGTAATGTCCAAGATGACAAAGCTTGTGCAATCAGGTGTTGAAGACACTTGACAGGTTGGGAAATGCTATGATTCCACAGTCAGAGACACCCGGGTTAATGACTGCTCTTTGTAGGATCTCTCTTTTATGTAAGGAAACTGACTTAATATGCTTTTGTGGGTGTTGAAGTTTTTGACAGAGTCTCACTAGGTAGCCCTGGCTGGCCTGGAACTTGCAGAGGTCCATCTGCCTCTGCCTCCTGAGTGCTGGGATTAAAGGTGTGCTCCACCTTACGTGTTTTAGTCTCTTTGGTTGTAAGCCTTAGCCTTTCATGGCTGTGCCGTCTCTCCAGCCTCCTTAACACATTTCTTAATCACTAGGTTTTGTACACCTGGCTGTCTGGAATCTCAGCCAACTTAGAATATGTGATTTTCCTACAGCTTATTACTATTGATAAAAAGAGTATTTATCCATGATTACTCATTTATAAATTGAATATTTTGTTAGTATAAAATTAGGTCTAGTTTTAGCAATTAGAAATTTAAAGACTAATTTTATTAACTGATAATATAGCAAAGTTTTGGATATTAAGATAATTGGGGGTAGCTATCATTTAACAAATATTCATTTTTTGAAACATTTAAAGTCACAATAGAAATATTTAGAATTGCAATATTTAGAAATGATATGTTGAAATATAAGTATGAATAAATTACAACTTCTGGACTCTATACTTTTGGACACATTTGTGAGGGTGTGAGTGTGAGTGGTAATGGGAATGTTTAAGATGATATATTAATAAACATTAATTTATCAACATCAAAGTTTTAAAAGTTTTATTGTCATCATTATGATAAACTCTATTATCAATCTGCTTTATGTTGTGGAATAGGGGTGCCCATTAAAAATCTACATCTGAAGGTTAAAATCTACATTCAAATGGCTGTCATTCTAAGATATATTCCTTAGTGGAAGGGGAATAGAATGTTTTATCAGTGCCTTCAAGGTGCCTACAACAATAGCAACCTTTAGGTGTAAAGAATATAAACATCACTAGTTTTAGACCTATGTGTTTCTATAATTCGTTTTGTGTTCCGCACATGCATTTAAAGGGTTGGAGAAATGTAAATGAATATAGCATGCTGGCTTGTTGGGTTGCAGTTGCCCCTGCCTCGAATCATTGTTCTGGAAGCTGTGCCAGCCAGCTTCTTGTTGCTGAGCTACTGTTTCCTAGCATTTCATAGGCACTATCGATTTGGGAGTAAACCGATGGAGCTTGAGAAGCATTTAGAGTGGGGAGTAGGAAAACATAGTAACTATAGGAACCACTGTTTAAATTATAATAACCATACAGAGGATAACTGATTGAGTAGCCTGTTTAATGAAGCACAGGATGGAGAGGGCGTCTTCATCACATTTTAAAACCTGTCTTCGAGTTATGTTAAGATTGAATTTCTGTTCTCAAGTACCACAAAGTAACTGCATGACATCTTCTACATTTTAAAGCTTCTTGCCTTACTTTTTCCAGGACTGAAGTGTGTGTGTCTTTTGTGTGACTCTTCCAACTTTACCTGCCAAACTGAAGGAGCATGTTGGGCCTCTGTCATGTTGACCAATGGGAAAGAGCAGGTGATCAAATCCTGTGTGTCCCTCCCGGAATTAAATGCTCAAGTCTTCTGCCACAGTTCCAACAACGTGACCAAAACCGAATGTTGTTTCACAGACTTCTGCAACAACATCACACTGCACCTTCCAACAAGTAAGGGGCTGCATAGCCACACTCACTTCTAATTATGTTTTACTCTTGGAAGACAATAAGCATGGCAGAAACCAAACCATCTAATGCTTCTTGAGATGAAAATGTGTGTTTTACGGATCTTCTTATTTTTGGTGGGCGGAATTCTCTAGAGTCTAGCTGAGGTTGATGTTTTAATTTTTGAATTGCATATCACTGTCAGAACATTGACAATAGTGCCATAATCTTGAGGAAATTTGGCCACATGAATCACAATTTTTTGACATTAATTAATGGACCTCAAGTAAAATGTCAATTTTTATGAATTCTTTTAATAAAAGAAAAGAAAGGAGAAGGATATTTAATCTTTGGTGATAGAAATAGATCATCAACCTACCCTAGGAGATGGGAAGGGACAAGATAAAGTTCTAGAATGATGGAAACGGTCATATGTGCATCAAACGTCATCAAACTGAAGGGTGTATGCTTTATCATGTTAAAATCATGCCTCCCTAATACTGATTTTTAAAAAATGAAATCTGGTTCCTGGCTGAGTTTGAGGGTACCACAGAATACATAATTGATCTGAGTGGAATCTGCATTCTATCAACCAAGATCCTTTGATTGCTCAGCTGCCTAAGTATCTTGTCCTGAAGAGAGGTTCAAGCCCTGTCCTGTACTCACGCTCACTGGCAGAGCATGGCTTTCAAAAAAGCCACTGCTGCAGCCAATGGGACTCCCCCTTCATTCCCATGCACCTTTTGTATCTTGTCACTGATGGAACCAACAATCAATAGAAAGCCTTGCTTTAGCATGCCTCTGGTTCTCACGTAAACCAGGGAAGGAAACTCCCACGGCATTTCACATCATTACCAAGTCCAGGAGAGCTGTGTAGAAGACAGAGGGAGGAAGTGTGATCTAAACCAACATTGCAGTTGGCTTTAGGACATGAAATGGGCCGACCGTAACTTGTCAGGTTGAACCATGGGAAGTAATACTTAGAACAGGGCTCCCTGAAGAATGGAATGGGTACCACAGTGGTACTTGAAAGAATTTTGAGAATTTTCCGGTGACTATTGAAGTGGTAAATACAATATTGGACTTCAACCTACAGTTGTAGGTCTGTACTGAAAAATCACAATGAACTTCGTTAGTGTGTGTAACTCACTTACTTGATCAAAAATTCTAAATACTTCTAAAACAAGTGTTATTAAATAATATGAATTATGTAATTAGATTTCCTAATTCTCTTGCTTTTTTTCAAGATGTCTTATTTCATGTTACTATATCTTTAACATTTAGGGTTTTGTTTTGTTTTGTTTTGTTGTTCTAGACAGGGCTTCTCTGTGTAACCCTGGCTGGCTGTTCTGGAACTTGATCTGTAGACAAGACTGGCCTCGAACTCACAGAGATCCTCCTGCCTCTGTCTCTCCAGTGCTGGGATTAAAGGTGTGCACCACCACTGTCCTTATAGTTTTTATATTTAGGGTATGTTCAGTTTCAATTTGTGTAAAATGACACAGCCCATAACGACAAGGCACAGGTATAATTTTATTTTATTTTTTTCCCTTGTGGGTAGAAAATTGTTTTAACATTCCACATCAGTTGTTGAAAGCTCTGACCTTGGGGCTGGAGGTATGGCTCTCTGGTTAAGAGCATTGGCTGCTCTTCCCAAAGATGCAGATTTGATTTCCAGCATCCACACAGCAGCCTACAGCCCTCTGTAACTCCAGTTTGAAGGGATCTTCTGCCCACGTCTGGCTTCTGTGGGTACTGCACATACTTGGTGCACAGATATACACAAAGGCAAAACATCTCTATGCACAAAATAAATATAAATAATTCTTTAAAAGGTAAAAGCCCTGGCTTTTCCGTGTACAGTTATTTTGTTACTTTAGTTGAAAATAAGGTAGATATATGTGTGTATGTGTAAATATGTTTAAATGGGTACATTTATGGATGCTTTGTGCTGTATAGTTTTTCTGTGCCTTAAGCTACTACTGAACTGTCTTGATTAAACAACAGGTGTTTAATAAATATTGAATTAGGATGTGTGACCCTTCTAGCTCATTTTAAAAAGAGCTTATTTGAATATTATAAGTAATTTTCATTTAAATTTAGCCAGTTTGATTATTTTTGCAAAACACACTCAGAGATTTTGATGAACTGAGCTGGATGTATAGAATAATCTGGAGAGAACTGTCATGTTAACAATATTGATCCATGAACATAGTATGTTTCCCTATTTATTTCATTCTGTAATTACTCTTAGTCATGTTTGTAGTTGTCAGGGAACACATCTTAGGCATAGTTATTGAGTTTACTAAACTTCTCAATGTGATTGTGAATGACATTTTTAGTATCTCAGTTTTTAAATGTTAATTTCTCCTATGTTGAAAAGCTCACTTATTAATTGATCTCACATCAAGATAGTGAAGATAATATATTGGTTCTAGTGTTCTTTTTGTTTCGCTTTGCTTTTTTTTCCTGAAAGATTCTTTGGACTTTTCCATTATTTGTGAATATAGTCATTGTAAAAGTCTCTGTTCTGATGTGTGTTCATTTCGTTTCTCTTTCTTGTGTTTTTGCACAACTGGGGATGTCTGAGCTGCTGGTTATTGGAGGCCGTGGAAGCAAAGGCTCTTGCTGTCCCAGGGAAAGTGCTTGGTCCCTTATTGCCTTTTATTTCTTTGTTTCTGTTTCTGTTTTGAGACAGAGCTTGCTTGGCATTCACTATGTAGCTCAGGCTGCTCTCAAATTCATGGCTGTCTTCTTGTCTCCAGTAAGTACTAAGATTTATAGAACTGTGTCTACCATCCCTGACCATCAGTCTTTTTACCATTAATTATTTCGTTAGCTGTAGGTTCTGGGTGCCCAGTATTAATTGGAAGAAATGTCTTTTATTTTTAATTGTTGAAATTTGTTCTTAGTCCTAAGTGGATATTCATTTTTCAAACATTTTATGACTTTTATTAAAATTATTCTGACAGTGGTTGTATTAATTAGATGCTAAACATTATCCATAGAAGAGGAAACATGTCTTTTGTAGCCAATAACTAATATGTCTATAAGAAATGCTATGTTGGGGCCGGGCGTTGGTGGTGCACGCCTTTAATCCCAGCACTCGGGAGGCACAGCCAGGCGGATCTCTGTGAGTTCAAGGCCAGCCTGGACTACCAAGTGAGTCTCAGGAAAGGCGCAAAGCTACACAGAGAAACCCTGTCTCGAAAAACCAAAAAAAAAAAAAAAAAAAAAAAGAAATGCTATGTATGTCATTGAATTCAAACATACTTATTTAAACTAAGAATTTGTATCATTTAGTGACATTGTATGTAAATGGGCACTCAATTGAATAGGGCTACATATAGGACATGTGGTCTCCTTGTGTAGAGTTGTTCTTCAGGGGGGCTAGGAATAGCTCTTAGCTTTGCATGGAACAGTAGCTATATGGAGGAAGATTTGAAACTTCTTAGCTAAGCACAGATCATGACAACAATGACAGTATTTTCATGTCATCAGAGAGTGTGGTCGGTGACCTTGCTCTGCATGGTATGGATCTGTCAGCTACAAATGTGATCATGCATATATTGGAATATAGAATAGTGCTCTAAAGAGTGGGGAGATATTTCTACAATACTTGACAGTGAGCTTCGTGTTCATGACCCAAACCATGGAAAGAAAGCCAAGAGTTAACCAGGAGCACTTATGTAGATGGGGAACTTCATTTCAGGATTCTAAGAGGACCCTTGTCCCTCCCATGCTCCCTGCTTTTCTCTTCCTTCCTTCCTTCCTTCCTTCCTTCCTTCCTTCCTTCCTTCCTTCCTTCCTTCCTTCCTTCAAAAAAAAAAAAAAAAGACTTATTTAATATGTATACAGTGTTCTGCTTGCATATATGCCTGCAGGCCAGAAGAGGGCACTAGATCTTGTTACAGGTGATTGTGAGTCAGCATGTGGTTGCTGGGAATTGAACTCAGGATCTCTGAAAGAGCAGCCAGTGCTCTTAACTGCTGAGCCATCTCTCTAGTCCTTCTCTCACCCCTCTCCCTGTCTTGCATCCATCATCCCCCAGGCCATTTGTAGATAGCTGATTTGATGAAGGACCAAGTCTCTACCTGCTTCAGGTGGCCCTCTTCTGCTCTTAAATCTTGTAATTATGGCCTCTTAGTTTGCTTCTTTGGGAAAAAATTTCTACCTTGAATAAAGCCTGTGCCTCCTCCACCCAATCTGGTCACAGCTGTGGCCCTAGTAAGGCACAGCTGGACAGCTGCTGGCCCTTACTCCTTCTTCCCTCCTCTAAGTGCTTTGAAATGTTTGACGCCAATTTCCAACAGCTTTCCTATGGGTTCCTACTGTGACACAGAGAGAGAGACTCATTTCGTCTAATTTCTTTTTTCACCTCACGTGGACAGAGAACAAGAATTTTACAAAACATATCTTTAAAATGTGTAAGGTGCTTCAATCGTTGCTATTTTCTGAAAAAAAAAAAAGTGCTGGTTGGATCCCACTGATAGGCTTAGTCACAGTTTAAGAAACACCATTTTAACTGATATTTAAAGGGTAGAATTTGTAAATGGATCAAGGGCATTTATTATTTCAATTCACTAGTATAAAAACTATTCAAAATGTTAGTTACTATTTTAATTTCACACATTTTCCTTTTAAATGGCCTAAAATTGATTAGATTTAAGACAAATTAATTCACATCACTGAGACTGAAATTTAATTTAGATCATATTTAAATTGAATCATTTTCCCTTAAAACATACCTTCTAGTTTAATTTTACACATGAGTATACTTTTCAGGAGTTGGTAGTTTTATTTGATAGAAGTAAGCTTATGTTTTGGTAGAAATATAATAGTAGAAAATTTTCTCTCTTCCCTGAAGATTATCAAAAAAGATATGGCTGAGACATCACTGAAGAAATAAATAATTTTCCAAGCTCAATGTGAGCACACATACAGGCTTTTTCCTTCAAAATTTGGAAAGCAAACTTTTCCAAACAGCAAACATGCTAGTCCCACAA